AAACTGTGTATTCAAGGTCAGCCTGGTCTATATAGTGAGTTTCCAGGCAACCAGGGTTACCTAGTAAGAACTTGTCTCAAAGACAGACAAACAAAAACAATCCACCCCCCGCCCCCCAAAAACATCAAACAAACAAAACCAGATATTTAAAAATTACAAAGTGGGAAGCTGTGTTCAGGCCCATTCCCCTCCCACTCCTCTTTATTAATCACTAAGGTAATCTTCCAGATTTGTTGTGGATACCCTAAAAAAGTCTCATCACATAGCCAGGCTGACCTGGCACTTACAATCTCATGTGCAGGATTCCTGGTGGGTGCCAACTTTCCAGCTCATATGCATTTTCATTCCTTCTGTTATTTTTTTGTCTTACTGTTTATATTTGTTCCACTCCTTGAATTTCTTTCACTAATAAATCCTGTTAAACAGTCCATAGTATTTTGCAGAGTGTGCCTTCATTTTCTGAACAGCACTGTGCTCTAGCTCAACCTCTATCGTGCGGATGCAGCATAACTTATCTAACTACCCCCCCAATGATAGATATTTGGGTGATGTCTGATCTTTTGATGTCACAAAGAAGGCTGGAATGAATAATCTTACACACTTGTTATTTTAAAACTGCACACATCTATCTAGCACAAATTGCTAAGAATGGAGTATTTGGGTCAAATAAAAATGCTAATTGCAAAACATGTGTAGCATGTATGTCGAGCCAGGTACCAATCTAAACGTTCAGCAGCCCATTTGATACTCTTAACAGCCCTATGGAGAAAACACTGCTATTATCTTTTGTAGATGAGAAAGCTGTTTAATAACCTGCCCAATGTCAGCCAGCGAGCAGAGGGCAGAGCCGACCAACATGGCTGCCTTCAGCCATTAGGTTTCACCTTCTCAGGCAGCGGAAGTGTATCTTACAATGTCCTTTATTCTGGCTACACCAATTCATTCGCTTTCTGGCATCATCTTGGTACATTTTTCACCAACAGGTTCACTGGTTATTAACTATACCATGAAAATGAATAGAAAATTAATTTGCTTTTCTCTTATAATGACTGATAATGAAGATCTTGCCATATGCTCAATAGCAACACACATTAATTTTTCTGTGACTTGTCTGTTCATATCTTTTGTGTATTTTTCTATTGGGATTTTAGTCTTTTGCTTATTGATATGGAGGAAGCCTTTCTATATTAGAGATAGAATTTTGTTTGTGCTATGAATTAGGAATGTTTTGATTTGCTTATGTTTTTCTCTGGTAAATGTTTTTGATATATACAAAGTCAAATTATCAATTGCTTAGAGGTTTTAGATTTCAAAACATTTCAAGGTCTTAAAAGAATCTTCCTGGGTCTGGAGAGATGGCTCAGTGGTTAAGAGCACTGACCGCTCTTGCACAGGCCCAGGTTCAGGTCTCATGGCAGCTAGCAACTATCCATAATTCCAGCTCCAGGGGATCTGATGCCCTCTTCTAAGGTGTACTTACATCGCATACACATAAAATAAAAATAATTAAATAATAAAAATAAAATATTTCAAAAGAATCTATGTTTTTTTCTAGAATTTTAAATTTATTTTTAATGATTAGATATTTTATCTACTTGGAATTTAACTGGAATACTATGGATCCAATTTGGTATTTTTTCTGATGGTTACCTCAGGTTGCTAATTTTGAATACTCCAGAACTGTCTTTATCAAATTATGGTGTCTCATAGCTATCCCCATATGTCATTTGGTTCCATTTCTATTACTCTATTTTTCTGTCCATATATGTATTCTATATTCCCCTATTATTTGACTATTCAGGTTTTATAATACACTATGTCATCTAGTAGGGCTGATTTCTCATTATATTTTTTTGTGTGTATGTGTGTGCATGCACACGAGTGTGTGGGTGCATGCGCCTATGTATGCACATGCAGAGGCCAGAACATGACTTTCGCTTTAAGAGAGGGTCTCTCACTGACCCACAAGCTTGACATTTTGGTTACACTGGCAGCAGCAACCTCTTGCCTGTCTCTGTACCCCACCCAGTGGTTAACCCCCAGTGCTGGAGTTACAGGCATACATAATCATGCCTGGTTTTATAATACAGGTGCTAGGGATTTGAACTCAGGTCCTCATGCTTACAGAGCAAACACCCACTGAGTCATCTCCCTAGCCCCACCATTAATTAGTCTTGATTTCCAGAGCTTTCTTTATGATGCTTGCCTATTTTTATATGAACTTAATAAGCTTTCCAACTTTCATTAAAACAAACAAACAAACAAACAATCAAAAAACAAACCCAGTTGAATCAGGCCTGGTCCTACACACCTATAAGTCCAGCATTCAGGAGGCTGAGGCAGGAGCACTGAGTTTAAGGGTAGATTGGGCTCTAGAGCAATATGCTTTCTCAAAAGGACCCCAAACCAAAGAAGCAAGCAATACCCCCTAACACCATGCCGAAATACATGTACACTTAGACTTATTCTAGAATCCTCCCAAACAATTACCTTTTCACTTTGTTAGGTTCAGCTGGGCCTGGGTGTTTGTGACAAATGATATATTAAAATTTAAATCTGTTGCTGGATGTGATGACACAAGCTTTTAATTCCAGTACTCAGGAGGCAGAGGGTCTCTGTGAGCTTAAGGCCAGTCTGATCTACATAGTAAGTCCCTGTTTCAAAAAAATTAAAACTGAGTTTTCTGGCTGTGTTATGGTAATTGACATTTGTTCATTCAACAGGAACTGTCGCTGACCCATTCAACACTGCCCAGCACTCAAGAGGTTGAGGCAGGATGATGGCTGTGAGGTTGCCACAAGTGTTACACCAGCTTGAGCTACAGAGCAGGACTCTGTGCCAAAACAGAAAAGAAAACAAAGCAAAACAGTATTGAAAACCATTACCCTAGACTTGGAGGGATGACTAGCTATAGACATTTTCACTGCTGATTTCCTTTACATTTTTTTTAAAAAAATTTATTATTTTTATTCTATGCATATGAGTGTATTGCCTGCATGTATGTGAGTGCACCCATGTCATGCAATGCTGCGGAGATAAGAAGAGGGCTTCGGATACCCCTGGAACTGGAGTTAAGGATGGTTCATAGCTGCCATATGGGTGCTGGGAATTGAACCTGGGTCCTCTGCAATAGCAGTCAGTGCTCTTAACTGCTGAGCCATCTCTCCAGCCCCGATTTCCTTTACATTTTTAAGTAAACAATCAAGCAACATGCAAAATTTCACATAAGGTTTTTTTGTTTGTGTGTTTGTTTGCTTTGAGACAGGGTCTCTCTGTAGCCCCAGCTGGCCTGGAATTTGCCCTGTAGATCAGGCTGGCCTCACAGAGATCCACCTGCCTGTGCCTCCCAAGTGCTGGGATTAAAGGCATGTGCCACTACACCTGGCTTAAAAGTTCACATAAGTTTTATGAAACAAAAGAACATTATTTAAAACAGTGAAAATAATGTTGAGAACTGCTTAAATTTAGCTGTCTACTCTACTTTTAGTTTATGTGTATGAGTGTTTGGCATGCACTTGTATAAGCGCACCAATGCCTACAATGCCCACAGAGCCAGAAGAGGGCATTGGATCCCTTGGAACTGGAGTTATGCACAGTTGTAGCTTCCATGTGGATGCTGAGGCCCGCACCTGGGTCCTCTGCAAGAGCAGTCAGTGCTTTTACCTACTGAGCCTTCTCTCCAGAATTGTCTGTTTGTTTTGATAATGCAGGTAAACATTCTGTGCCCCTTCCTTTACTGTGAGTTCCAAAAGCAAAAAGGTCACGTATTCCTAATTGTTCATGGACAACATCTATTATGTCCTATCAGAAAATGTTCATAGATTAAAAGAAGTTAAAGCACTTTCAATAATACCATTTGGGATTTGGGATGGGTGTCAGACGTCCAAATTCACTGTAATAACCTCTCCTTCATATATGAAATGGGATCCACATGAGTAGGTGATGAATTTCAAGCTGTTTTCCAATAAGAATGCTGGGTTGCAGATCCAACAAGCTCTTTACTTGTATGCATGGTATGTATACTCACTAGGAGGTAGGCTGATCATTATCTGTGACTGTGAAATAAAACTAGACTTACTTGCTGTAACAGAGTTACTTGTTGTTGTTGTTGTTGGTGGTGGTGGTGGTGTTTTGAGATAAGGTCTTGCTGTGTAGCCCAGGTTGGCCTCAAAATTGCCATCCTCTTGCCTCAACCTCTTGAATGATGAGATTACAGATGTGACCACCTGGCTCCCGAAAGCTCTTATCATTTCTGACAGGCCTTATACCCCAAATGATGAAAGTTTTAATCATTTACCACTTACCCAGGATAAGGAGTGGCACCGAGTGCAGGGATTATCAGTGGGAATGGATAATAGAGTCATTTGAAGAATTAAAAGAAAAACTCTCCACACTTGGCTTCCCTCCACCCATCCTCCAGCCGACCACCTAGCATGCACCCAGAAACTGAGTTGAGAGTTGATTCCTGATGAAAGCTGTGGTTCTTGATATGATCCTGCCACCTCCGATGTGCCGAGGCAGTTAGTAAGGTTGACACCAATGTTAAGGTGACAACAAAGGTGTGGAATACAGGGACCCAGTGCTCAGTCCTGCATTTCATTTACTGGAACACACAGTAGAAACACAAACAAACAAAAAATCCATGGTTCTTCAAATAGGGACACTTTAGATATAGCCACTAAATTGTAGCAATCAGAGCACTGAAAACCATGGTTGAGTTTTATCTTGCTCTTTAGAACTTGTAAAATAATCTTTTTTCCACAAGAATGGCCTGGGCCTATGAGATAGCTCAGTAGGTAAAGGCGTCTCTGACCTTGGTGTGTTGTGGCACCCCCACATACATACACAATTAATAAATAAAGTGAGGAAAAGGGAAAACTAAACGACAAACAAACATAACTGTAGCATGGAAGTGACTGCAATGGCTTTCAACCATATCAAATAAACACAAATTTTCCAACACAAGGTCTCAGAGGAAAAGCTAAGTAGTTGCTACATACCTGTTCTAGGCGAGTTTCTCCCCTTTTCTTATTGTGAAGTTTAAGGTAAGAGTCTGTTTTAGGAGTAGGTAATCCCAAAGTCAGCTTGTTCTTTTCCACAAAATATTGTTTGGACCTCCTTCTCCGAGGGCCACGTGATCCTGGCAGGAAAACTTCATTGTGTGAACTTGAACTCTTCAGGTACTGAGAGAGGTTGCTGGACTTCTCATGGTCACTGTCACTTAGCTCTGAAAAGGGCTCAGCGTGACGGGAGCCATGCTCATAGTTTGGGCTTAGAAATTCACTTCCAAGCAAGGAGGCTTCGCTCTGAGGACTTTTCCCTTTGCCTTTCCCGGCTGAGAGTTCCACAGACGGCTCCTTGGAAGGGTAGAGTGGACCGAAAGGCAGGGTTTCTGAAGAGCTATCTGCAGATCGCGGCGATGTTTCAGCGGTCAATGGCTGCCCCTCTTCTTTATTCTTCCAGTTCGGGTCGTATCGGAGGTCTGAGTATTTGTCTTCTATCTGTTGTTGGCTGCCCAAGGCAGAAAAGAAACAGAAAAGAAATGGGAAGTCCTTAATGAAAAGTAATTCGCCATTGCAATCACTTGATCATTTATTCCACATCCATCTCAAGCTTCATTCTTTTAGTTCCCTTTTACTACCTAAGGGATGAAAATGCATCTCAGGCTCAGATTAGAACCACATACATGAAGACAAAAAGGTCTAATTCCCTAAAGTTCATTGAAATACGTAATAAAAACGGAGGTCAATTAAATTCTAAATGAAAGAGAACAAGTGGAAATGAAGTGTTTACACATTAAACCAAGGCATGTCTGTGGTTCAGAGTCCTTCTGCCTATGCACACCATCAAGGACCTGATATTTCTACTGCTGAATATAAAATTATGATTCACACGTAAGGGCTGGGGACACAGATCAGTTGGTAGTGTTTGACTGGCATGTATGAGGCCCTGGATTCTATCCCCAGCACTGCATTAAGCTGGATGTGGTGGTACATGCCTGTAATCACAGCACTAGGAAAGTGGAGGCAGGAGGATCAGAAGTTCAAGGTCACTCTCAACTACACAGTGAATTATAGGTCAGCCTGGGCTACATCAAACCCGGTCTTGAGACAGAAAGGAGAGGGGAGGAAAGAAAAACCATCAATCATACTTTAGCTGGTTATATGCAAATTTGGTTACCAATTTGGCTATTTATGTCTAGAAAGGGAAGTGTGTACTGCTGCCTGGACCTTCTGGGAGGAAAACTGGGCTTCATCCCAACTGAACACCTACAAAGTTTCATCTAGTTTTCAGTTTTTAGTAATTTTGTTTTTCATTTTTGTCTGTAGATTTTACCAAATGTACTACAAAAACATTCCCCAAGGCTCAGAATCAGACTGTGGCTCACAGTGTCTTGGTTGTCAGACCTCAGTGGACAGGTCAGCACGGGCCTGCGGCTCTAGGACAGTCTCATTTGAGTAAAAGGTTAAGCATACGGTATTGTCAAGGGACGTGAAACAGACCCTGAATGAAAAATCCTTCTCGTGACAATCTCAATTTGTAAAGTACACCTCCACCCCGGACCGGAAAAAAAAAAGGCAAGCTGGTAATATGGCATATTTAATGGCCTCTTTGATCTTCAGAAGGTAAATGGGAGAGATTTTCCTTCCTTGAGGACAGTGGATGCAATCCTCTAATCAAAAAGAAAATGTAAATCACCCCAGGCTTTTTATGCTATTTGATATTCCCGTTTACAGAGGACATAATTTTATGCTGAGTAAACAAACTAATGGTCCTTCTAATGCTAATTTACTCTTCTTAATGTGGACCTAGATTTCTTTGATTCAACGTAAAGCAAGAACTGGAGAAAAAGCCAGCGTGCCTTGCTAAGTTGTCACTGTGAGTGTTTCAGGTCCTGTAAAGGTGAGAAACTTTTGGATACCTCCGTTCTTCCTTTTCCAAGATGGGATCTTCCCTGCAAAATTCCTGGATAGGAATGGTCCATGTGACTGGAGACAGACATCACCCTGCCCACAAGCCCAGAACACCACAAGATGGGCTGTCTTTAGGACTGTGACAGGCAGGTTGCTCCGGGAGTTGTCTGTCCTACATTTTTGTACTGCTCCATACAGTCTTGACCTGGCTCTTAAGAGTCAAGGGACATTTAGCATGGTTTAGCAGGGCACAATCTGCATTTGACTAGACACTTGGGCTCAAGTTCTGATGCCTCTACTCACAGTATATGTCATTTTGGCAAATCATACTGTCTTTGAGTGAGTTTTTCTCATCTGCAAATAGGAATATTTTTTCATTTCTCAAGACAGAAGCATAAAGACCATGAAGCAGTGCACCTTAAAGTGTTCTACACATGTACTCATTAACTTGTCACTGTGATCCGTGTCCTCACCTGATAACTGCCTGGGCACAGGGACTTCGAGGTGCCCTCCCTCCCTTATCTCTGCTTTAGTACAATGCAGTGCACTAGAGACATAAGAGTTAACAGATGCTTTGAGAGATGCAAAAATAACTGCATCTCTATACATACTCAACATACAGATTTTTAAAAATAACAACATTAATTAGAATACTAACATGCAGATACTTCTTTCATTGGAGCAAATTAGTGAATGATTTTAGGGCTTTTTTTGGGGGGGGGGCTTTTTGTGACAGGGTCCCTCTGTAGCCCCAGCTGGCCTAGAACTTACTATGTAGACCAGGCTGGCCTTGAACTCACAAAGATCTGCCTGCCTCTTCCTTCCAAGTGCTGGGATTAAAGGCATGTACCATCCCTCTTGGCCCCAGGGCTTATTTTATTACTAAGCGAATCCTAAGGTTCAAATGTGGTTGTTTAGGTGAAGAAAAACTCAATGATTATCTTCACAAAAACGGCCCTAGTCCCATATCCATAGTTTACTGAGAGGAAAAACTGACTTTAATTTTGTTCTTTTATTCACTTGTTTCGACAAGTATTTACTGAGCACTTACTAAACTGAAGGATCCAGTGGTAAATGACACAGTGGTTCACAATCTAGAAAACAAGTAGTTCAGAGCGTGGATGGACACCTGCCCTGAGGACCACAGGGCCATCTGAACTGAAGGGACATCACGCCTGTCTCAGAAGGCAGGGGAGGCCTTTCTGCCGGAAGTGATAGCATCACCAAGACCTAAGACTAGGAAGTAGTCCCCACGCTGAGAGAACAGCCAGTGAAGCAGAGCGGAGGGAAGAGAGCACTGCTGTTTCCCAACAACAGAAGCTGTGCAGGTAACAGAGGCTGAGGCTCAGAGCTCAAGACTAAGCAGAGGTCAGATACTAAAAGACCATGCCAACTCTATAGAGGAATTTGGGCTTAGCTAAACTGTCCCAGTGCTTAATTTGCAGAGGGAGGACTGGTAAATAACTGAGAACAGCCAAAGGGAGGAGCTTCTAGGTTGGCTTATATACACAGTCCATAAATTCTTTTGAGAACATTTTGAACAGACAATCCTCTAGTCTATACTATGAAGAGCTGGGTTGTCCATTTTGATAAGGTGACCGAACTGGGCCTCACTATTCTACCGTTCAGCTGGGGTGGGATGTGGAAAGACAGCACATGAAATTATCTGCTGAGTCAAGGAAAGTTTGTGGTGGATCTTCAGTTTTTTCTTTTGGACAACCCCGAGGGAAGCACAATATCATTGTTATTCTCCTTTAATAGATGAGGAAGGGCCTGTGAGGTGGCTCAGTGGGTAAGGGTGCTTGCTATTAAGCCTGATGACCTGAGTTCGATCCCTGGGACCCTCATGGTAGAAGGAGAGAAGAGACTCCTGCAAATTGTCCTCTGACCTTCACATGTATGCTATGGTACACATATGTACACATACAGGCACAAAATAAGTAAATGTACAATAAATAAATAGAGAAGGAAATAGATGAAGCTTAGAGGCTTGGGTAAGTCTCCCAACACTGCCAAGCTAGCAAGTGGTACAGTCAGAGTCTAGACCTTGGACGTTTACTCAGAATGTGGCTCCTGTCCAGTAAGTTGCTTTGAATGCAGCTATTCTCAAAAGTGACTGTGAAGCAGGATGATCGTAGCACCTGGCTTCAGTGAGTCAATGAACTACTCAGTTGGCTAGATAACAGGGACGTATTGAACACACTCCCAAGGACAGGCAGAATACTAGGCAGAGAAGATGTAGCTGTGAGCGAAACAGAAGCTGATGGAGCTTACCCTCCAGTGAGGAACCATAATGACTAACAAATTAGATGCATAAAGAAATATAAGATGTTATGCATATTTAAAAGAGGACAGGGCTAGTGATGTAGTTCAGCAACAGAGCACTTGCCTAGCATGTGCAAGGCCTTGAGTTCCATCTTCAGCCGTGAAAATAATAAGCACCTTGTTTGTCCCTGAAAATGTTAACTTAATCTTCCTAGATTCAACTGCTAGATAGTATCTCAAAGTCCACCCCAATTCCATCATTCTAGAAGCCTATAATAACTCACAACCAGTGAGTTATACCTAGCATTTTTAAAAAGTCAGGTAGTTGCTACAGTTTGGATTTGAAATACCCCAGAAAGACCCATGGTGTGGAAGGTTTGGACTCCAGCCCTGACGCTACTGAGAGGAGACTGTGCTTAGTGGAAGGAAGTGAGGTTCCTGGTGTCATGGCCTTGAAAGGGACACCGGGACTCCTGGGACCTTCTCTCTTTGTTTCTTGGCCTTAATGAGGTGAAGAGACCTCCTCTGACAGATGCTCCTGCTGTAATGTGCTGTGTCACCATAGGCCCAAAGCAACAGGGTCAAGTGCCCACGGGCCAGGCCAAAACCTCTGAAACCATGCGCTCCAATACAGCTTTCCCCCTTCAGGGGTGTTTCCTGAGTTTTCCTCTCAGTGATGGAAAGACAGCACAGGAGTACTCAATATGTGAAAGAAATGTATTTCCTGATTTCTGCCTCTGCAATTACATTGAGAAAACTGGTGGACGCAGACTGGTCACTGTATTTAACTAGCATCAGATGACAGCTGACCCTGAGTCATCGTGATACCTTGCTTCCCTGTGTCATGATGTGGAGTTTTCTGGTTCTGAGAAATGCTACTGCAGTGTCTGAGGACAACGGTTCTAGAATCTAATAGCCTCCTCTCAATTTCTGGTGCCACGGGCTACTTTGTGAATGTGGGCAGATTTTTGATTTAGAAAGAACTGGATAAACACAAGCTGGGAGGGCTTGCCTGCAGAGCTTCGCAGCCGACTTTTGCTTGCTGTCCTTTACACTGACTCACCGTGACATAACACTATTGTTGTGTACTATGCTTCCTGCCCAGGGAGCTCACGGGATTCTTCTGTCTCCAGTGCTTAAGTTATTTCAGGGACATGAAGCTGTCTTGAGACGCTCTAAGTGATACTCTAGAGGCCTAGAAGATTTAACATCCATTTTTTAAAAATTCCGGTTTTCAGTCATGATTTGGGCTCTGTGGAAAATGTTTCAAACGTTTTTTTAGGAAATGGGATTAAGAAATGTCAGTTTCTATACAGTGAAGTATTTTAAAAA